GAAGCTGCAGCTGCTCCTAAGTTGAGGTAGGTGGTGGTCTTTGTGCATCTCCCCTTGTCTGTCTCCTCTGCCGATCTTCCCAGCTCCCAGCAGCAGTAGCAGCAGCAGCAGCAGCAGCAGCAGCAGCAGTCCTTCCTGCAATGCTCTGGCCTCCTTGCTCTTCGTTTGTTTCTTTGCAGTATCCAGTAGGTAATAAAGCTATTCATTTTTCCCCCTTTCACCTCTCGTGGGTGCTCTCTCTGCATCTACACAGACATATTTTAGAGTTTCCTTGTTGCATGAGATAGTAGTTCCCCACTGTGTTGCAGTTCAAACACCAGATACATGAGTCAGACCTGGATACCTTTGTTCTAAAGCCTCTCCCTTGCATTGGTTCCTATATTCTGCCCCCTTTTGACACCTCTCCTCCCTCCCTGCCCCCCGACTCTGGAGTCAGGAATATATCCTACACTTCGAATTCCAGAACTGCATTCTATTCTAATTGCCATCCAGATGGGACATGGACTCTTGTCCATTTCCCCTTAGGCATTCAATCCCATGTTCCCCACCTTCCCTAGCACTTCCTTGCCTTGAGAAGCTCATTTATTTATTTATTCAGTTTTAAATAGGATTTTATTTTTTCCAATTACCTGTAAGGACAAATTTAAACATTCATTTTTTTAAATAAAATTTTGAGTTCCAAATTTTCTCCTTCTCTCCCCTCCCCTGTCCCTAAGATGATAAGCAATTTTTTATAGGTTATTTGTGTGCAATCATGTAAAACGTATTTCCATGTAAGTCATGTTGTTAAAGAAGAAAGAGAACAAAAGGGAAAAATATGAAAAAAAACACAGAATGTGAAAAATAGTATGTTTTGATATGAATTCAGACTCTTTTAGTTCTTTCTGTCGATGTTGATAGCAATTTCCATCATGAGTCTTTTGGAATTGTTTTGGGTCATTGTATTGCTGAGAAGAGCTAAGTCAATCATAGCTGATCATTGCACAATGTTTCTCTAACTGTGTACAATGGTTTCCTGGTTCTGCTCACTTTACTTTGCATCAGTTCATGTAAGTCCTTCCAGGTTTTTCTGAAATTATCCCTGTCATCATTTTTTGTAGCACAATAGTGTTCCAGTACATTCATATACCACAACTTGTTCATCCATTTCCCTCAACTGATGGGTGTCCCCTCCATTTCCAATTCTTTGCCACCACAACAAAAGGCTGCTATAAATATTTTGGTACATGTATGTCCTTCCCCCCCACCCCCATTTTGATCTTTTTGATATAGACTAGTAGTGGTATTACTGGATCAAAGTTTTATAGACTTTTAGGCATAGTTCCAGATTGCTCTTCAGAATGGTTGCATAAATTCACAACTCCACCAATGTGCCAATTTCCCCAGATCTTCTCTCACATTTATCATTTTTCTTTTCTGTCATATTAACCAATCTGATAGGTGTGAGAGGTAGTACCTCAGAGTTTTTTTTTTGATTTGTATTACTCTAATCAACAGTGATTTAGAGCATTTTTTCATATGACTATAGATAGCTTTGATTTCTTCATCTGAAAACTGCCTGTTCATATCTTTGACCATTTATCAATTGAGGAATGACTTGTATTTTTATAAATTTCAGTCAATTCTCTCTATATTTGAGCAAGAGGCTTTTATCAGAGGCACTTGCTGTAAAAATTGTTTCCCAGGTTTCTATTTTCTTTCTAATCTTGGTTGCATTGTTTTTGTTTGTGCAAACCCTTTTAAACTTAACACAATCGAAATCATCCATTTTACGTCTCATAATGTTCTCTATCTCTTGTTTGGTCATAAATTCTTCCCCTCCATAATTCTGACAGGTAAACTATTCCTTGTTCTAATTTGCTTATAGTATCACCATTTATGTCTGAATCATGTACCCATTTTTATCTTACTTTATCTTTGTATATGGTATAAGTTGTTGGTCTATATCTAGTTTCTGCCATACTGTTTTCCAGTTTTCCCAGCAGTTTTTGTCAAAGAGTGAGTTCTTATCCCAGAAGTTGGAGTCTTTGTGTTTATCAAACAGTAGATTACTATAGTCATTTATTACTATGTCTTGTGTACCTAATCTATTCCACTGATTCACCACTCTGTTTCACCACAGTCCCAGATAGTTTTGATGATTGACACTTTATAATGTAGTTTGAAATCTGATATAGGTAGGCCACCTTTCTTTGCATTTTTTTTCATCAATTCCCTTGAAATTCTTGACCTTCTGTTTTTCCAGATGAATTTTGTTAATGATTTTTATAGCTTCATAAAATAATTTTTGGTAGTTTGATTGATGTGGTACTGAATAAAGAAATTAATTTAGGTAGGATTGTCATTTTATTCTATTGTCTCAGTCTAACCATGAACAATTGATATTTTCCCAATGGTTTAGATCTGATTTTATTTGTGTAAAAAATATTTTGTAATTGTGTTCACATAACTCCTGGGATTGTCCTGACAGGCTGACTTCCAAGTATTTTACATTGTCTACAGTTATTTTAAATGGAATTTTTCTTTCAATCTCTTGCTGCTGGACTTTGCTGGTAATATATATAGAAATGCTGATGCTTTATGTGGTTTATTTTATATCCTGCAACTTTGCTGAAGTTTTTCAGTTGATTCCCTAGGACAGGGGTGGGGAACCAGTGGCCTTGAAGCCACATGTGGTCCTTTGACTGAATCCAAGCTTCACAGAACAAATTCCCTTAATAAAAGGATTTGTTCTGTGAAACTTGGACTCAGTCAAAAGTCCACACTCAAGGACCTAGAAGGTCATGTGTGGACTCAAGGCCACAGGTTCCCTATCCCTGCTTTAGGATTCTCTAAATATACCATTATATCATCTGCAAAGAGTGATACTTTTGTTTCTTCGTTGTCTATTCTAATTCCTTCACTTTCTTTTTCTCGTCTTATTAGTAAAGCTAACATTTCTTGTACAATATTGAATAATAGTGATAATAATAGGTATCCTTGTTTCACCCCTGATCTTACTGGGAAGGCTTCTAGCTTATCCCCATTTCAAATGATGCTTCCTGATGGCTTCTAATCTGGGAATGGCTGGAGCCTAACAGAGCATACTGGAACAATTGATTGGTGGTAGTGGTGGGGCACAGGGCTCTGAAGCGTGCAGCAAAAAAACCCAGAGGCACATAGCATCAAATTTATAAGGGCTGGTAGAGAACAGAGGTATATCCTTTTTAGAACTGGGTCAGGGGAGGGGCCCTTGAGTTTTCTTCATAAAAAACGTGAGCTCTGTGGGTAGGCTGAGCTAATATAATAAAAATTATAATTCTACCTAAATTAATTTATTTATTTAGTGCCATACCAATCAAACTACCAAAAATTATTTTGAAGAGCTAGAAAAAATAATAACAAAATTCTTCTGGAAGAACCAAAGGTCCAGAATATCAAGGGAATTAATGAAAAGAAATGCTAGGGAAGGTGGCCTAGCTATACCAGATCTTAAATTGTATTATAAAGTGGCCATCAAAACTACTTAGTACTGGTCAAGAGATAAAGTGGTAGATCAGTGGAATAGGTTAGGTACACAAGACACAGTAGTCAACGACTATAGTAATCTACTGTTTGATAAACCCAAAGACCCTAGCTTCTGGGATAAGAACTCACTATTTGACAAAAACTGCTGGGAAAACTGGAAAATAGGTTGGCAGAAACTGGGCATAGACCAACATCTTACACCCTATACCAAGATAAAGTCGAAATGGGCACATGATTTAGATATAAAGGCTGATACTATAAGCAGACGGAGAGAGCAAGAAATAGTTTACTTGTCAGATTTATGGAGAATGGAAGAATTTATGACCAAACAAGAAACAGAGAACATTATGAAATGCAAAACGAATAACTTTGATTACACTAACTTGAAAAGTTTTTGCACAAACAAGGACAATGCAACCAAGATTAGGAGGGAAGCAGGAAATTGGGAAAGAATTTTACAACCAGTGTCTCTGATAAAGGCCTCACATCTAAAATACATAGAGAACTAAATCAAATTTATAAGAATACAAGTCATTCCCCAATTGATAAATGGTCAAAGGCTATGAATAAACAGTTTTCAGATGAAGGAATTGAAGCTATCTATAATCATACAGAAAAAATGCTCTAAATCACTATTGATTAGAGAAATGCAAATCAAAACAACTCCTAGGTACCCACATCACACCTATCAGATTAACTAACATGACAAAACAGGAAAATTATAAATGCTGGAGAAGATGTGGGAAAATTAGAACACTAATGCATTGTTGGTGGAGTTGTGAACTGATCCAACCATTCTGGAGAACAATTTGGAACTATGCCCAAAGGGCTATAAAAATGTGCATACCCTTTGACCCAGCAATACCACTTCTAGGACTATATCCCAAAGAGATCATAAAAATGAGAAAAAGACCCACATGTACAAAAATATTTATAGCAGCTCTTTTTTTGTGGTGGCCAAGAATTGGAAATTGAGGAGATGCCTATCAGTTGGGGAATGGCTGAACAAGATGTGGTATGTGAATGTAATGGAATACTATTATGCTGTAAGAAATGATGAGGAGACAGACTTCAGAAAAACCTAGAAGGACTTATATGAACTGATGCTGAGTGAAATGAGCAGAAGCAGGAGAAAGTTGTATACAATAACAGCCATGTTGTGTGATGACTAATATTGATAGACTTAACCCTTCTCAGCAATACAAGGATTTAAGACATCTCCAAAGGCCTCATGATGGAAAATGCTATCCACAAAGAAGAAAGAACTATGGAATCTGAATGCAGATCAAAGCATACTATTTGCTCTCTCTCTCTTTTCTTTTTTTATTTCTTCTTTCTTGTGGTTCCTCCCATTCATTCTAATTCTTCCTTACTATATGACTAATGTGAAAATATGTTAAATAAGAATGTATATGTAGCACCTCTATCAGATTGCATGCTGTCTTGGGGAGAGGAGATGGGAGGGAGGTGGAGAAAATTTAAAACTCAAAAGCTTATGGAAGTGAATGTTGAAAATTAAAAATAAATACATTAATTTAAAAATTTTTTAAAAAAGAAAGGTGAGCTCAGTCAAGGATGAGTTCAGGAGATTGGAGCAGGAACAAAGGGAAGAGGACTCACTAACTAGGGGAGAGGTTGGACTCTGGAGAAATCTCTGGTGTCACCTAGTCCACTTCCACTGGTACTGGAGAGTCCAATGACCCAGTTCCATGTCCAATCCCACTTCTGACACCAATTAATGGTAACCAGACCAAAACCAGCCTTTAACCTGTGGCTGGTGGGAACCACACATAGCAGGCCAGAGGCAGGAGAGTCAGGACACAAGCAAAAGATGTTTAATACGAGATAGTATACTCTGATCATTCTCAGCTGCACCTCGGGCATGTTTATAATTTTTCTTGTAAGTCAGCTTTAATTTTTCTAACTTTTCATTCTTCTCATCCTTCAAGATCTTTTTTTTCTCAAATTCTTCCTTTTGCTTCTCATATTGCTCATTTCCCTCTTCCAACTTTTCCATTTTCTTCTTCAGTCTTTCCATTTGCTCCTCATACTTCAGTATGATGTCTTGTCTCCCTTTCTCAAACTGCTTCTTGTAGTATTGCTGATAAGCCTCTGTGTTTTTCTGGAGAAGATCTTCCACAGATTTATACTTACTGTTGGTGTAGTGGGTGCCCCCATTATCTTGCATCACTTTCTGAACTATGGCCATCAGCTTTGAAACCTGGGCATGCCTCTGGCCTCCACTAGCATTATTGTCAAATGCACAGCATCGGTTTTTACACTTCTCCAACAACTCCTTGAAATATGAGTCATCAATAGTTCTTAAGTACTCCCCTAGGCTTTGTTCTCTCAGGTCATCTTTTCGAGTGAATACAATGATCAAAAAATTCACTGCTTTAGCTCCTAGAATTTTATAAAGCCCTTCAATGGCTGCCTTCTCCGCCTGGGTGAATGGGCCCACTTGCAGCACCAGGAGTAGAACATGTGGTCCTGGAGAGGAGAGTGTCATGAAGTGAGCTATTTCCTTCAAGTTTTCTTTCTCTGGAGTATTGGTGTCAAAAATGCCTGGAGTATCAACAACAGCAATGTCCCTCCCATTCCATCTGGTTCTGGCTTTCCTGCAGACTTTGGTGAGTGACCCTCCTGAACACTTGGACTCAAACTCTCTCCTGCCCAGGATGGTGTTTCCTGTTGCACTTTTCCCAGCCCCTGTTTTTCCCACAAGGACAATTCTGAGTTCTGGCTCCCTTGAGTCTCCTCCACTGTTGTCTGGGTCTGTAGGAAACAGGTAAGGAAGAAGAACGAATGACTGGATTTTGTAGGTGATTGTAATAAGGCATTGCTCAGAAACCCTATCATGACATGGAGTGACCTTTAGGTTCTTGAGGGCTATGCCCATGGAGCACAAGCTGAGATGGGTCCTAACAATCTGGAGGAGCTTTGAGTATGGCCAGCTCTCTGTTGTCCTAGTGAAATTCTCAGATCCTTGTCAGCAAAAGGGAGGCCACCACCACCAGGAGACTGTTCTTTGAGGGGTGTTAGGAAATGGCATTTCTTAAATTTATTTAACTGAAAATTCCACCCTTCCTCTGGAGCACATAATGAATGAATCATTATTGCTTGTTAGAAAACACATGCATGTTTGTACACATTTACACATAGCCATATTATACCCAGTTATATTAATAATTGAGGCCTTTTCCTATGTTAGGATCTTTGTGTGATGTGGAAGTTTATTCCTCCCTTCCCTAAAGAATCTGAATGACTATTTCCTAGTGAAAATCCCCAAAGAGAAAAGCTATAATCACCTCTGAACTCTGAGTGCAGATAGAAGTACATATATTTTTTCACTTTATTTATCTTGCTTTTTTTTTTGCAACATGGCTAATATGGATATATGATTTTTGTGACTTCAGATACGTAATGTGTGTCATGTTATTTGTCTTTTCAATGGATTTGTGTAAGGGATGGATAGAGGGAGAGTATTTGGAACTCAAAATAAAAAATGAATTAAAAAAAGGTGAAACTGTAATTGGGAGATACTTAACCAAATAAATACAATTAAAGAAGTTTATTTCCCATTCCTTCTAGACTCTGAATTAGCATTTCACTCGTAGCATCCCAGAAAATAATGCAAACAAACGTGGGCACCTCCATAAATCTCTGATTCCTCACTTATGAGAACAACCCAAAGGCCATTTTCCTATTACTTGACAGGTAATTGGCAAGTTTCCTTTAAGGATTGTCTATAGTTTTTTGCTATTGCCTCTAAAACCAGTCAAGAAGGTCTCTCCATCTTATCCAATTAACTTCATTGATGAGTGCCCATCTTGGCTTAGATGGTACATATCAGCTGACATCACAGATAAGTTTCTTCTAGCTCCCTTGTCAGCCACTTTTGAATAAATCAGTTCCATATGCTCTTCCCCTAAAATAATTCTTATACTCCTAGATTCCAAGACCCTAACCTGGAAACTGAGGTAACAAATAACACCTTGGTCCTCCCCTATCAATATCCTGTAATCTCCACCCCCCCCCCCCACTGCCCAAATTAGGGGTCTCTAGCAGAGATCAGAGAAGGGACTTTTCCTATACAATAAAGGGAAACTGAAGAGATTGCGCCAATTACAGAAGCGAGAAAAAGTTTTATACTGTTAGAACGCTGCAACTCCTTCCTTCCAAGCCCGGATTGGTCCATTCCTTTCCAGGTCACAATCTTACACATCCACCCATCCCACATCTCCTTGACATGCTTCCCCCACCCCCTCCATCCCTAGTCATGCAAAAGCCCATGCCCTTTGTCCTACTTAGGGCTGTTTAAAACTGGTTCTGTCCTCTAGAACTTTGGGGTCTATTAAAAGATTAGGGCCCTTAGGAGTAACTTTTAATAAATCATTTTTGAATATATAAATCTTGTTGCTGGATTTCCTTTTCCCCCTTCCTAGTCTAGGTACTTGAGTTATCACATAATTATTCACTGGGAGGAACATTTACCACCAAATGAAGGAAATGAAATAGGTGGGGTGTCTTGAATAAGTCTTCCTTCTTAAAAACAAAACAAAACTTCCTCAAATTCAGGAATCTCTTCTTCTAATTGTTGCCAGTGAGGAGCCCTAGTTAAGGTCTCCCTCCCTCTATTTCCCCAATTAGAATTTTATAGATAAGTGTCCACCTGAGTCCAAACAACTATCTAGCACCTGGGATCATAAATGTGAAATTCCACATCTGGTTTCTTAGCTGACCTCAACTGGGTGGAGGCACCATTTCAGTCCTATAATGCACACCTCCCCCACTCCCTGTCCTCCCCACCTATGACAGTGTTCAGAGATCCCAGCATATAGATCTGGAAGCAAAAGTAACAGACAGCACCCTTTCACCCATCAATCACTATCCTGTAACATTCTCACCTCCCCCCACCTCCAAAAGAGAGCACATCCCATACACCCATCAGAAGAGGGATTTTCTTGTACAAAAGGGGAAAGCTGGGAAGAAAATTTAGGAGGAACTGCCATACCACCACCCCAATATGGAAGCCAATTCCTTCATTAGAATAAAAATTTTTCTCAATAGAATGTGAGCTCCTTGCAAGCAGGAATTCCTTCTTTCTTTGTATTTGTATCACTGAATACCAAGCAGGGTTAAACACTTCGTAAGTACTTAATAAATACTTTCTGTAGATTGGGCTAATTAACCTCAACACCTCCTTCACATCTCTAGTCATCTGTAAAGAATATCCTTTAACAGATCTCTTTTGTACACCTAAGTCTCCCATGGGTTTTTCTTCCTTTCTCTTCCTAGTATGGATGCTACATTATCACACAATCACTGATTTTCCTCCTGGTGTAATAATTGAAATGTTTTTGAGGAATTGACCAATTGTCCTCACTTCTAAGCCCTCTCAACTCAGATGGAGAGCCTTCACTCGGGCTTCTGCAGAGTGGCCTGAATTGAGGGTCACGGTAAGTTTGGGGTAGGGCAAGATTGTCACCCAGGTGTTGTTGGGGGTGGGAGTGGAGCCATGAACATGGAAGGACAGAGGTGTGTATGTTTCTGTGAAAATAATGGGATTTAGGTGGCAGTAGATGCCATTCTCCTAGGTTCATGGTATCCTCTTTCCAGAACACAGCTCTCCTTCCTCTGCTAAAATGTTGAGCCACTAGCAAGAAAGAGTCTTGGGCCTAGTCAGAAGGCCCAGGGTGGTGGTGGAGAAGTGGGAAGTGGGGCTAGGGAAATAGGGCTCCAGCAAACAGGATACATATAGAGGTTCCCAAAAGTCTTAGTGCAGTTTTTAAGGTTTTGGCCCAGTCAGAGAACTCAGGGTGGTGGTTGAAGAGTCAGGGTATGGGGTGGGGGGAAAGTGAGGAATGGAATAGGATTCCATAGCACAGAAAAAAAAAAAACCCAACCCAAACAACATCTGAACAAATTTAATTCATGAAAATTGATCAAGTACCAGGCTTAAAAGAGAAACAGAAACAAAAATGAAAGTCTCTGTCCTCAGGCTGAATTCCACCAGAGGAAAATTAATCAGTTAATACTGGAAAACTGTCTACAGTCTTAGTGAGCTGCCCAACATGAGCCTGAATGAGGCATCAAGGTAACATGGCAACTGAAAACATGGAATTACAGGTTATTTAAATAGAATCATAGTGGCCCAGGTTTCTTACCCAAGATGTTAGTTCTGTGTCATACTGTGTCTCTAGTGATAAGAGATATTGAGTAAGACCTGGTGCTTCAAAGCTGTCTAGAAGCTTGAGGGAGGCAGTGTGGAAAAATGGGTAGTAGGCTGGCTTTGGAGTCAGGAAGACCTGGGTTCATGTCCTCTCTGATGATGGGTAAGTCTCTTAAACCTCTTAGTGCCCTTCCAACAAATCCCTAAATTATAGGCATCTTTACCTAGGTATCCATGAACTTGTAGGCTTGTTTTAAAATATACATATTTTAATAATTGCATTTGAATATAATTGGTTTCTTTTGTGATGTCCTATTTTATTTCATTCTTTTCTTTTTTTTTTTTTTCTGGCTAGGCAATGGAGTTAAGTGACTTGCCCAGGGTCAAACAGCTAGTAAGTATTATGTGTCTGAGGCCTGATTTGAACTCAGGTCCTCCTGAGTCCAGGGCCAGTGCTCTATCCACTGCGACACCTAGCTGCCTCCTGTATTTCATTCTTTTCAAAACATTATTCTGCCAAGGGGCTCTGTAGGCTTCACCATACCGCTAAGGGATGCAAGATAGAAAAAATAGCAAGGACTACTGCTGTTAAGTCACAAATTACTGTGAGCTCCTGCTCTGGACAGAAGGAGTTTCCATTGTTGGATTTTTCAATGAAATTGTGATCATATTACAGGTCTAGATTAAAAAAAAAAAAAGCTCAATGCCAGGTCACCCTTCATAAAAAGGTGCCTTGATCCACCCCCTCCCACACTAAATGGACCCTTACAAACAGCAAATAATCCCTCATAGGCTGACTCTCCATAATTTCATTGAGTGGATTGTGAAATCAATGAAAGTCTCCTAATCAGCCCCTGCAACCCTTCAAATATTCCAGTGATGAGAAACATCCTGATGGATTCTAGTTGCTAAAAGCACCTTACCAGAGATTGCAGCTTCCTCTGTGGTAGGGAGGGTCCTCACGGGGTCACTCTTGTCACTGTTCTCACTGGTCCGGCCACCATCACACACGGCAGAAACTCGGAACCTGTACACAGTCTGAGGGGTCAGTCCGTCGATGTCACAGTATGTCTCCTCATTTCCTGTTCTCTGTTCATGCCATTCTCCTTCCCCCTCCTCACCCACAGCCTCACTCTCCTCTCTATACTCTATTCTGTAGTCCTTGATCTTGACTCCTGCTCCAGCAACCCTTGGACCCTGCCAGCACAGGGTCACAGACTGTGGGCCCACCACAACAGCTTCTGGCTTCCCAGGAGGCCAGATTAGGGTAAGTGTCCTCACAGCAAGGCTCACATCACTGCTCTCACTGAGCCCTGGCTCACACACCTTAGCAAACCGGAACAGATACTCTGTGCTAGGCTCTAGGCCACTCACTTTGAATACCTCTGAATTTCCAGACACAGGGATGGTGGTCCAATCCTCTTTCCCTACAACCTGGTACTCAACCTGATAGCCAGTGATCCTCTCCTCCTTCCCAGATGCTGAGGTCAGTGTGAGCTCTACACAGTCATGTGTGACCTCACCAATCTGGGGAGGGGGAGGTTTGACTGGTAGCTCAAAGTTGGTGCTGACCTGCAGTCCCTTTTCATAGAGGTAAATGGAGACTCCCTTGTTCTCCTGGTCTGGGACAGATGCCACAATGAAGTGAGTCTTCTCAGTGGAATGATTGGCCTTGGCAAAGTTTGAAAAGGATTCTGCTAATTGTCTTGCTTTTCTCCTTGTGTCTCTGCCCTCAACCCATGAGGAATATGTCTGTTGCTCACAGTCAGGGCTGAATGGTGCTGGATTCCGTAGCCACTGTTTCCAGTCTGCTAAGTAGGGTTCCTTGTGCAAAGAGGTGAGTGCAAACACCAGGACAAATCTGTGGGAAGAGCCTATTACCACATCGTCCACCTCATTCTGGTCAGCCATGACTGGCACCTCCTTCAGAAGGGTGAGGTAGGAATTTACCACCTTCATCTCCTGGAGCTTCTGATCCAGGAACTGTGAGAGCCTGCTAGTGCTGAATGGGGACTGACTTTCCCTAATTAAAATCCTGGTTAGCTCATCATCCCCTGCTCTACCTTCCCGGATCTCAGGTAAGACCTTGGCTATTTCCTTCTGTAAAAGCTGTTTGTGCTGCTTATTTAGCTCTTGGAATTGCCTAATCTTCTCCCTGATTGCAGAAAAGACTGAGAGCCCTGGTGCCTCCAGCATGTCATTGCACCTCTTGTCATACTCAGATAACTTCTCCAGAGTGTCCTGGGCATCCCATACCAAGCTAATGCTGATTTCTCGAACCAGCCTGGCAGCCTTGGAATTCAGCTTCTCCAGAGGGTACAACCAGACTTGGACAGACACTCCATGGCCCCTAAGCAGCTTAGGAAGGGAGGCGTAGACTTCTACTGCATCTTCGTAAGTCACTGGATTGGTCTGAAGAACAAAATCCCCATAAAACTTACACCTGAATTCCTTGGTTGAATTTTTCTTATTATGCTCCTTTTTCTTCTTTCCCTCTACTTTTCCTGATACCTCTGGAATCTTCTCTACTGCAGCCTTCAACTTTCCTTCTATATCCTTGACATTTTCATTGGTGGAAACTTTCTGATCAAACACAAAGAAAGCCTGGGCCCCATAGAGCACAGCTATGACCACGTGGGTGGCTGTCCCATTATCAAACACATCATGGTAGGAAATATTCTGATATCCCAGGTGGTTCATGGTGAGGTGGGAATACTGGGTAGTCATACTGCACTTGAGAGTGACCCGAGCTTGCTGTTGGGATGTCTTGGTGTCACATAAATATTTGGCAGAACCTCCTATTTTAACCAGCCCTGCCAGGACACTTGCTTTCAGCTCTGCAGAGATATTCGTGGCCTTGGTCTTCTCATCAATAGAGTCAGAGGTGATGATGTCAAAGTCAGTTTTGCATTGCTCTTCTGTGGTCACATTTCTCTCAAGGGTCTCCCTGTCCCATAAAGTGATGCCTAGAATGGGACAGAGATTAGGGAGTAAATGGCAGATTGCAGAGGGACCACAACCTGTCACTTTAGGGTGTCCTTTCCAGCAGGGACAGCTGGGCCTGGGAGCAGCTTGTGGAAGGAGGGTGAGCAGGGCAAGAGGCACAGATGGCAGGGGTGGACAAAATCCTACTCCTGACCTGGCAAGAACTTCTCTATGCCTCTGCAACTCCCTTGCTCCCCTGAGCCTTCTATGACTGAAGGGGGAACCCTTACAAAGCCTCTCCCTCCTGTGAACCCCTGAATCTGGATCCTCATTCTTCCCACCCCATATCCCCACCTCCCTACTCTGTGCCCTTCTTTTCCTTCCCCAAGTAGGGAAGCCTCTCCTCCTCCCAGTCTGGGGACTGCATCCTAAAAAATGCCCATGGTAATACAGGATTCACAAAGTTTACCAAGTACTTTGCTCCCAACAGTTCTATGAATTAAGAAGTGCTCTCATCATTCGTCTCATTTTCCAGATAAATAAATTGATACTCAGAGAGGTGTTGGCTAACTTTTTGGAGAACCTACCACTAGTAAGTGTCAAAGCAGAACCCTGGTCTTCTGACTACAGGAATAGCCTAATACGTTGCCTGAACTAGATAGAGAACAGGAGATGACCCAGAGTGAGATCAGCACTTGGTGGGTATAGGAGGAATGTTGCATGTACAAAGCAGATTTGGCAGTGTTAGCTGAGTATACGACCTTTGGAGCATTCTCTGAGACAGAAAAGGAGTAGTTATGCCTCTGAAGAAGTGTAGCTCCTTCTGGGTTGTCTTGGCCAGGCCCCTTGTGGTGAGACATTCTATGCTGCTAGTGAATGATAATTTTACTCTCTAGCATTAATATAGTACCTTAATATTTGCAGAGTATTGGGGAATGGCTTAGCAAGTTGTAGGATATGATTGTGTTGGAAAACTATTGTGCTATAAGAAATGAGGAGCAGGATGCTTTCAGAAAAACCTGGAAAGACTTACATGAACTGTTGCAAAATGAAGTGAGGAGAACCAGGGGAACATTGTACACAGTAACAGCAATATTGTATGATGCCCAACTGTGAATGACTTAGCTATTCTCAGCAGCACAATGATCTAAGGCAATTTTGAAGGACTTTTGGTGAAAAATGCTATCAACCTCTAGTGAAAGAACTGATGGAGTATGAATGAAAAGAGTTTTTTAAAACTTTTTTTGTGTGTGTTTTGTATATTTTCTTTTACAGCATGATTAATACAGAAATACTTTTTGCATGACTGCCCATGTTTAACGTAGGCAAAATTTCTTGCCTTTCCAATGAAGTGAGAGGGGAGAGAGGAAGAGAATTTGGCATGCAAAATTTTAAAAAGTGAACATTAAAATTTGTTTTAAAAATTGCATGTTTTTATATGTGATTGGAAAAAATAAAATTATAAATTATAAATATTTTCAAAGTGCTTTGCAAATATTATCTCATTTGTTCTTCAGAACAACCCTGGGAGGTAGGTGCTTTTATTATCATCCTCATTTGGTAGATGAGGAAACTAAGGCAGACGGGGTTAAATGACTTGCCCCGGGTCTCATAGCTGGATTTGGATTCAAGTCTTCCTGATTTCAAGTCCAGTCCATTCAGGTCCATCCATTGTACCACCTAACTGTATACTACTAACTGGCTCCTGGGATGTGACTCAGGAAGGTAGTGAGTGGGATACAATTAAGTGGCTCTTCTAGATACTTCTTGTTGTTCAGTAGTTTCTGACTCTTCCTGACCCTGTGGACCATGGCTGTGTATGGGTTTTCTTGGCAAACATACTGGAGTGATTGCCTTTTCTTTTTCCAGGGGATCCTTTTGTCAAGCAATCAGAGGTTAAGTGACTTGCCCAGGGTAAGAAGTGTCTGAAGCTGAATTTGAACACAGGTCTTGCTGACTCCAGGCCCTGTACTCAATTGACTGAGACACCAGCTGGCTCTCTTCTAGATGTTGGTAAAGATCAAAAGTCAATGTATATTCATACAACCTGCAACTCTCACTGTTCTCAAGGGAAAGTGATGGGACTGCCTGCCCTTCCATCTTCCCCCAACCCCTCATTCTGAACTATCAGGTCTACCTTTCTCCTTCAAGGCTGCCCTTCAACTTTATTTTAACCAAATTGGTTTACATGCACTAACACTTAGGGTATGTGTGTGTGTGTGTGTGTGTGTGTGTGTGTGTGTGTGTGTGAGACAGTGTGTCCTCCCCACTTCCCAACACTGTGTCTGATTGAATTAAGGCTCTGACTCCTGCTCTAGCTAAAAAGCTTTTAAAAAGTTTGTTCTTCTTTTTATTAGATCTTTCTAAGATTACTTCTCTTTTTGACCTCCACCCTTCCAGGGTGAATGAGCCCCTCCTTACCTCACCCTCTTTGGACATCACTCATGACTGCTGGCTGGGATTTACCATCACATGGCATCTCCCATCAGAAGTAAGTGATCTAGATGGGTTCTAACTGGGGGAAAAAAGGTGACACACTCTAGTTGCTGAGACTTTCTCTGAATCTGACTTGCTTACACTGATCATTTTTCACCTACAAAGAACTCTTTTGTAACACTGCCCTCTCCTGACACCTGGAACAAGGCCTAGCATTCCAGAGAGTAATTACCAGGGATGAAGGTATCTGAGCGGCAGTCATACAGTGTCCCCAGATGTAAGGGTCTCCCCAGAGCCGGGATCTCCATAGCAGTCTCCAAGATCATGCTGCTTGGAAGTTCTTTCCCTGCCATTTCCCTAAGGAAAGAAAATTGAGGTCTAGGGCAGTTATCAGGGAACTCACTTTCTAGCAGGCTCCAACCATTTCTCAGTGACCAAGCTCCCCCAATCTCTGTTAGCCAGGACCCCTACAGAAAGGTAGTGACTGTCCTGGGATGGAAAGACATCATTCTTGTATGGAGGCAACAAAGGAACCAGATGCATTGGACTGAATTGTTCAGCTTAGAGAGAATCTTAGGAACAAGCTAGGTCAGAGGGCAGAGGCAGAGTTAGAGAGTAACCAGGAGGACTAGTTTGCTTGAGGGGAATAAGTATTCATGTGTCACTAGAAGGTTTGCAAAGCACTTTACAAATATTATCTCATTTGGTTCTCACAACAACCCTGGCAGGTAAGTGCTGTTATTATGCCCATTTGATAGTTGAGGGCATTGAGGCAAACAGAGGGCCAATGACTTGGCTGAGGTCACACAGCTAGGTAGTGCCTGAGGCTGAATTTGAACTCAGGTCTTCCTGACTCCTGGCTCAGCCCTCTAGCCACTGCACCACCTAGCTGCTTCTAGAGTTCACTTTAAGAGTACAAGGAGGCTATATTTGATGGAATCAGCCTTGAACCCTGGCCTTGGCTTAGTGCTTGATGCAGTAAGACCCCAGTCCATGGAGAGCTGGCAGAGAGAGTCCTAGCATTGCCCAACCAGGTGTTCCTTGGCTCTTCCTAATGGTTTATGAAAAGCTGATCATCAGCATAAGCAAAATGAAAGTAGTGCCTAAAAGAACTTGGTTGTTGCAAACCACCCCAATCTTTGCATCCAGACTCTGGAGCCGTGGAATTTTCAGGTGAGTTGCTCTAGGCTGAGAGCCAGGATTCCCTGTAGGCTCAGGCTGTTCCAACTGTTGCCCTGAAGGTCCATCTGCATGAGCCATGGTGGTTGATGGAGGGGAATGGAGGAGTCAGTAGATGAGGGGCTGCTAGGCATCTGAACTGGAGCAGCTGCCTTTGAAAGATGAGTATAACATGATTCTAGGAGATTGTCAACCTGCCTCTGACTAGCAAAGTGATGACCTTGGCCTTCTTCCCCTACCTCGAAGCAAGAGATTTACCCTAGCAGCAAGGGATTCTTCTTTAGGATATGGCTGTGATGTCAGCAATGAGCCCCACTGGGACAGCCACCATCCAAGCCCTGACAGGAGGGTCTGTTCCTTATGGGTCCTGCTGGGCCATTGCTTCTGAGCCAGCCACTCATTTGATTGCACAGCAGGCTGGAGACTGAGCCCACTCTCATCATATTCCCTGGGCTCTCCCTCTGCTGTCCTACCCTTGGGCAGCTGGCATTGTTGAATGCCTTTTAAGGTATTACTTCCACCATCACACCCATGACAATCAGCATTATGTGTCCCAGCTTTGAGAAGCTGCATGTTTGATAATCAGCACTGCACTAAATATGGGGAGGACTCTCTCTTAGAACTCTCCCTGCCCTAGACAGATGGACAATTTTTAGAGTTAGGCTGAATTGACCTTCTGCAGCCCTCCCTTATTCCATACTCTGTAGACAGTTTCCTGGGCATTGAGGTTTTTGCTCCCTCAGAAGGCTCTAGACAACCCAGGAAAGTGGTTCAGGTCCCTCTTAAATGTTAGGATTCCTTTCCCAAGGATGATTGAGCCAGCTACTTCTTAGAAAGGGTTTGAGGGACCAAGGTATAGACATTTTAGGAGATGTTGCTTTTTAATGCTATGGGAGAGGGAAAACTCTTTTTATTCAATTATGGACAAAGTCAATTTACCTGAAATACAGGGGCTCCCTTGGCTAATACAGTGGCATTACTACATCCCTGGATGCAGGTAAGAGGGGGTTTTCATTAATGCTCCAGAAAAGAAGTGGGCAGACCCTCAGTAAAGCCTTCTACACCACAAAAATGCGGTATCTTTACCCTGTTGGGGCTTCTAGGAAGACAGGAATTTAGAATGGTCAGCCAGGAATCACTGAGGGAATGATGTTAGAAGGTGAGGCTGGAAAAGGCCTAAACAGGGTAACTCCCACTTGAATGTCCTTCCTCCACTCTCTCTATGTTGTTGTTGTTCAATGGTGTCTGAGTCTTCATGGCCCCATTTGGGGTTTTCTTGGCAAAGATACTGGAGTGGTTTGCCATTTCCTTCTCTAGTCCATTTTACAAATGAGGAAAGTGAGGCCAATGGGGTGAAGTGACTTACCCAGAGTCCCATGGCTATAAATGTCTGAGGCCAGATTTGAACTCAAGAAGATGAGTCTTCCTGACTCCAGGTCTGGCACTGTATCCACTGTACCACCTACCTGCCTGTGCCTCTCTTTATAGAGCCCTGCATATATTTTCCCTTGGGTGCAGCATCTCTGCTGGACTTGGCCTCAGGGAGTCTCACCATCCCACTCTTGACAGCCATCTTGACTTGGTAGCTGGTTCTTGTTTAAGCTGTGAGAGATCCCACTCCTTGAAGCTGTTTTTGCTCTGGGTCTATGGCTTCACTCTCTCAATGTCTCCCTGAAGAGACTGTGTCTCTGCTCCCTCAAATGTCTCTGGAATGCTCTTGAACTGACTCTCCAGCTGCTGGATAGAGTGTCTGCTGCTCTACAATGGAAAACTTGACCAGGACTGGGGAGGAGGAAGAGGAGGGAGTGGGGGTTGTCAGTTATAAGGATTAATCTTTCCTTCCTTCTGGAGTCATACTCCAAAAGTGATCTCAGTCAGGCCTGACTCCTGCTTCCTAGACTGTTGGCAGTCTTAGCTATTTAACACTGGAAGGACCAGGTATGTCTCCTGATTGACTCAAGAATTTTCTAATAATTTTCATCATTTGACTAAATTTCTCCTACATGTCCAAAAGTACTTAAAATATTGACAAGCAGATATTATAGTTTTACTGTGAAATGTCTACCCTCCTATCTCTTTGATTTAGAGATAAAAATAAATGTCCTTGATTGAGGACTCTGAGTCCTTCCTTACTTCCCTGTAATTTTAGCAAAAAATGTGTTTACACTTCTTCAACAAATAATCTCAAAGGGTGTAATATGTTAACTAATCTATAACACAATGAAACCTAGACATCTGTGATTAAATCCAGTGATTACTTCCACTGAGCTGAGGGTGGAGGAACTGAAGCCTCCCTCTCTTACATGTACAAAACCCCAAATGGAGAGGCAGCTTGGTGAGGCAGAGAGCTGGCTGAGCAGTCAGCTGGGGCTGGCTTCAAGTGTTCCCACCACCTGACATTTAGCCACCTCCTCCAGGCCACGTCCTGCCCCATTCCCTTCTCTCACTCTAGCTGCTACTGGCTCAGGCTTTGCCTGTCAAGAGCTGCTGCTGAGCCTCTGACCAGCCCTGAGTGCCCTGCCTCTGGTTCCCCTCCCCCAATCTAGAAGAAGGGGTAGACTGAGGTTTTAAAGCCCTCAGAACTTTAACTCTTTGTTTAATCTCTGTCCTGGGAAAGACTTCTGGCTTTGTTGTTGTTCATCCTGCTTTCTCAAAGAGGACCGATGACATCATGAGGGAATGTCTTGATATTGGCTGGCATTTACCATCTTCTCTCTGTACTTTTTTTTAACAGATCAAGTATTTTCATTGGGGTTAGACATTTCCTGATGAGGAAACTCCTTCTATCAGTGCAAGTCAGCACCTGCTCTGCAGGTTCTAGCTTTAGCACATTTCCTGGGGCACTGAGAAGTGAAGTGACTTGCCCAGGGTCACATAGTCAGTCTATGGCAGAGATGGGTCTGATGTTCTTCTGCCAGAATTCTTTGTCTCCTTGTTCCCTTTTGCCCAATCTCTGAGGCCAGCTCTCTAGCCACTGTTCCACACTGCCTTTCATTTCCCTCTTTTGGGTAAGGCTAAATATAAAATGACCCTCATTGCTTACACATAGTGCAGCGTTCTAAGACCACAACACATTTGTGATAAGTAATTTTGTTCAACTTTTATAACACTGAAGGAATTATGGGATTAGAAATCTATGTTCTCTTTACCTTTTATGGCCCAAGAGGAATGTAACAGATCTCAATTTGTAACAGAATCATTCCTCTGTCAGTCTGACATCATTTTGTCTATAAGAAGCCTTGTTAGAATCCTATATGGGCTTCCGGAATTATTTGAGTCCTGAACCTATGCTTGAGCATAATAATAAGGCCTAGGGTTTCAACCTGTCTGATATCTGCCTTGTGGCAAATACGTATTTGACAGCAGTTACCCACAACACGAACTCAGAGAGGAGATATTTCTCCCATAACTCATCACAATCCTATAAAGACTTTAGAAATTTGAAAGTAGGTTTGCAATGAAATGTTTAAAACTTGCTTGACTTTTGGGTACATATGCAAACAGCCCTCAGAAGATGTCAGTCTGGAAATAAGCGTTGCTCATCCATTCTGTTAACTTGTACAACAAGTCAGACAAACCAGTTGATTAGTACTAAAGTGAGGCATTTTATTTAGGGTGGAGGAAAAGCAACCAAGTAAACCTCTTCTCCTCACCGCTCCCCTTTTCTTCTTGAACTTTCCGAACTTCTCCTGAGTTAAGCTTCGTCTCTTCCCTGAGATCCTCTTTTAGAAGACAAATGGTTTGTGGGCAGGATGATGCAACACTAATACTTTTGTAGGAGTTACCTGTGAATTTTTTAGATTACTTTACTCTCTGTCAGGAGAACTGGGGCAGCATTGGGACCCTGGGCTCCTGGTGAAGAAAGGATGCTTTCCTGGCCCAAGCTCATGGAGAAAGTACCGAAAAGAGAGGTTGGGGGTACCAATGATAAATTACTCAGATGTCATTTTCACTGGGACAGTGACCCTGATAGGGAGATGTCAGAGAATTCCTTCAGGCTCTAATTTCAAGTCCCTAGGAATCTAGCCTGTGCTGGTAAATGTTTCACAACCAGCTTTCCAGGAAAAAAATGTACCTTTGATACATTTTTCAGTTTAATCTATACTATTAACATTTTCTCTATGACTTTTTAAAGTCTATACAAACAACAAAACAACAAATCAAACCTGGATTTTTAGGGTTTTCTTGAAAATTTAGCACTTGGCTCTGGGAGCTAGTCAGAGCTGGCTCCACACACACCTCTGCCAGGCACAAAGTAAACTTTTAATAAAAGTTTTATCTATCTAAGTCAGTGTCTGATAAACTAGTTCACACTAAAATGTGAATGACTGGGAACAGTTTCCTTGAGGATAATTCTCATCCTACATGAGGATTTACTTAGAGTTCTTTTGGAGAAAGCTTTTTGCTTGAGGAGGCTTGAAAAAGTACAGTCCAATGTTTGTGCGCATGTGAGGAGGAGAGGATGGAGAGAAATGGCCAGAGAACCCAGCAGGAAGATCAGAGGAAGGAAGGGGAACCTGAGCTGGCTTTTTGCTTTTCCTTTGGGGAAGGTTAAGTAAATCTTCCTTTAAGATGAGAATGTAGCCAGAGGATGCCTGGAGATAGCAATGCTTACTCCAAAGAAGTGCATGTATACTGGTGAGATACGGATGTAGAAGAAGTATTTGGGGCAGAAAAGGCAAGGGGAGAACTTTTTGGGAAACTGAGGCTTGCCTTTCAACTACAGCACTTGGGACACCACTTTTTCTGACTAAGGGTGATGCTGGTTTGCCATTTTGGGGTCATGACTTTTTGTGTGGGTCCCTGTATCCTTACTAGTAACCCAGAACTCAATCCATGATGACGCTGACCTGACTCTATGGGCAGGAGATTGATTCCTTCCTTCAGATTTGCTGATCAAGTGCTGATTCCCTTTCCTCTCACCCACCTCCCCTCAAGAACAGACCTCACTCACAAATCTGGCAAAATGTGAAAGGACAATCATTCACCTGAGAAAGGATTGTCCTCTAGGAGCCAACCTTGGGGCTCTTGGAGGGAGTAGGGACTTAGCCATCACACCTATACTTCACCCGACTCAAACAGGAACCAAAGCTAAGGTTTAAGGAGGCAGAGAAACAAAGTAGACTGTCTGGGAGGGGCAGGTCAGCCCCCTGGACAGAGCAGGGAGCCCACCCTCCCAAAGAGGTGCTACCAAACTCACCTGGCCAATCCGGGCACTGTGGCTTTACCAAAATGTGTAGCCTTCTGTCTCCCCTTCAGAGAAATGAGTTTTGGAGTCAGTGTTGGTGTGGGGTGTGCCTGGAGACTGGCTGTGTGTGAGCCCCACAAAGCAGATTGAAAAACAAAAAAACTTCTGGAAAACGAAAGTTATCTGACCTAGGGACCGCCCATTTCCTGAAAAGAGGGAGATTTAGAGAAGACGTCCAAGGTCACCTGACTTGGTCCCTAAACTCAGGAACCAGGAAAAAGGGATCTTAACTGGGCACAAATCACTCTTCTGGACTAACATGTAACCAGCTCTTAAAGCTTAGATCTATGGATCAACTAGACCTTTGTTCACTCTGCCTCTGTCTCTGTCTCTCCCTTGGTACCTACCTCCCTTTGGATCGTTTTCCTACTTGTTCCCCTGACCATTATAGTCAAGCTCCTCCTTCCCCTAAAACTTTCTGATAGTGAGCCTTCCTCTTTCTCTCACCCTGTAAATGACACTGTCCCTCTTTACTTGAAGCAGTATTGTAAGGAAAAGAAAAGTAAAGGAATTTTTGTGTAAAAGAGAAGACTTAACTGTTAAGGGATATAAGATACTACCACTGTTAACAGATGAAACTTTGGCTGCCCAAAAGGAATAGAAAAAGAACTGTTTTATTTAATTGAAAAAACCCTGTAGAATGTATTGAATGAATTAGATTGAAATGAAGTCAGGTGACCTTGGACATCTCTTTCTTTCAATCTCCCCACTTTCAGGAAATGGGCACTCCCTGGGTCAGATAATTTTCGTTTTCCAGAGGTTTTTTTGCTTTTCAATCTAATTCAAATGAATTAGAGAAGGAGATGGCAAAGCATACCAGTATCTCTGCCAAGAAAACCCCATGTGGAATCATGAAAAGTTGGACATGATAGAAATGACTGAATAACAATAATGAAAAGGAAATGATATTATGCCCAAAAACCGCCAGACAACAAACCAATATTAGCAAAGAAAAAATATATTCCCCAGGTGCCTTAGCATCCAGATTCACAAAGCAGACATTATCTGATCTACCAGAAGACCCAGACAACAACACATATGTGACAGGAGTATTCAGTTTTATATGAACCTAACAGAAAGACAAACAAAAGGCAAAATAGAGAATTGATCTGTCTTTGGTGTCAGAAAGGCCTGGGTTCCAATCCTATGTGATGATGGCAAAGTCCCTTAATCTTGTAGTGGACTTACAACAAATCCCTAAAGTATAGGTGCCTTTATTCTGATTTTTGATAATTGCATTAGAACATAATTGGTTCCTTTGTTAATTCTGTATTTTATTTTATGCATTTAAAAACATTATTCTGCAAAGGGATCTATAGGCTTCACCATATTGCCAAGGGGTCCAGGGCACAAAAAACTGCTAAGAACTCCTGCTCTTAACCATTAATGACAAAGGAATTACTGCTCTCCACAGGAGGAATTTCCATCATCAGAGTTTCCCAAGAAATTGTGATAATATTACTTGTCCAGACAAAAAAAGCTTAATATGAGGTCAGCTGTCCATAAAAGCTAACAGAATCATAGGCTGCATCAGCAAGAGTAAGACGGTTTTATCATGGGAAGTGACAGTCTCTCCATCCCTCAAGCTAGTCAGATCCCATGTGCAATCTCATGTTCCAATTTAGGCTCCACATTTTCAGAAATTTGAGTTTGGAGGGAGGGGGAATCTGTAAGGTTATAGAAGTCCACGCCTCTCATTAGACAGACGGGCAAACTAAGCCCAACAGTGGTTAAATGACTTGCCCCAAGTCAGGAAGGCCAAAAGAGAGAATGAGGGTTTGACTCTAGGTCCTCTGGTTTCAATTCTCATCTCATTCTGCTGCAGAACCAGCTAGAGCTCAAGCCGATGAGGAAGGTGGAAGGAGTGAACATAATGGCCCAGAAGGAAGAATTCAAGGAATGAGGGATGTTTAGGCTGGGAGAGAGAAGGCTGAGAAAGGGCATGGTCACTTTCCTCAGATATATGGAGGGATGTCATACATAAAAGGAATGAAATGCTTTCTTGTCCCCAGAGGCCAAAGTTGGTACCAACAGGTGTCAGTTACAAGGAGAAAGATTTCAACTCAAGTGAAAAGGAAGAATGTCCTAACAATTTGAGCTGCCCCCACCATGGAATGGGCTGGGAGAGAGTCAGCTCATTGTCATTGGAAGTGGCCTCTTTGTTAGATATATCATAAAGGGTGTTCATTCTTCAGGTAAGATGTTGCTTCCACCTCCTATGATTCTCTGAAGGCCTCAACTTCAAATGTGACTAATATATGCGATAACATTAGAAATTGCTGCTTTCCTTTCAAGAGGAAGGTGGAATATACATTTTAATGACAGCAGAGGCTAATTGGGAAATAGTACTGGCTTAAAATTTGCAAAGTGCTTTATAAATATTATGTCCTTAGATCTTCGCAGCAGTTCTGGAAGGTAGGTATCATTATTATCTCAATTTTACAGATGAACGAACCGAAGCAGACAGAGATTAAGAGACTTGCCCAGAGTCACACAGGTAGGAAGGGTCTGAAGCTGCATTTGAACTTGGCTCTTCATCTCCAGGTCCAGCTCTCTATCAATGTGACAATTAGCTGCGTCTAGGAAAAGTTTGTCTGGGTGCCTCGAGCCCTGTGGCCTGGAGAGAAGAATTGTCCAACAGGAGTATCCCTGTTGCCTCCACAGAGCTATCCCTACATATGGAGAAGGGAAAGATGTCTCAGGCTCCCCAAGGACCCTTCCCTTCTTCACTGTGTTTTCCCCACAGACTCCCCTCCTTAAGAGATAATGCTACACCAGCCTAAAAGCTCCTTCCAGTCTAAACTTTTTATAACATGATGGAGCATCCTGGTCACCTCTGCAGTAAAATCTCTCCTTACATATTACTTAATTACTTTCTAGTTGATAACACCAAATCTCTTGTGAACCTGCTTAATACTGACCAGGCCCTGAAACTTGGCTTCCACCTGACTGAAATAATTCAGACCAAATTCTGAAACTGTAGTACTAAAGCCCTGACTCTGGTCAGGGTGTTTTCCCCATGCCATGGGACCAGCCCTTTTGAGATCTCATCAAAGTATTCTCAGTATCCCTTTTTGAGTGCTACAAGTTAGATGCGAACATTTTACCATGAAGTCCACCCATTAGTCACCCAGAGAGGGTCTGAAGGACCCTTTGAGTCTTCAGACCAAATGTAGGCATTGACCTGGATTGAGGGTGCCTTGTCAGCAGTCATCCAGCATCCCCAGTTGGAATAGCCCACCTCGAGCTGGCATTTCCACCTTTCTCTCAAATGTAGACATTATGGGCTCTTTTAAATAGCACTTTATTTTTTCTAATTACTTATAAAGACAATTTTAAACATTCATTTTAAAATAAATTTTGAGTTTTAAATTTGCTTGATTTTTCTTTGATTTGCATTCAGACTCCATTAGTTCTTTCTCTGGATGTTTATAGCAATTTTCATTATGAGTCTTTCGGAATTGTCCTGGGTCATTGTTTTGCAGAGAATAGCTAAATCAATCATAGCTGATGTTTGCACAAAGTTTCTCTAACTGTGTACAGTGGTCTCCTGATTCTGCTCACTTTACTTTGCATCAGTTCATGTAAGTCCTTCCAGGTTTTTCTGAAATCATCCCTCTCATCATTTCTTGTAGCACAACAGTATTCTGATACATTCATATACCACAACTTGTTCATCCATTTCCTCCAATTGATGGGCATCTCCTATATTTCCAGTTCTTTGCCACCGCAACAAAGGCTGCTATAAATACTTTTGTACATGGTATGTCCTTCCCCCCACCCCTGTTTTGATCTCTTTGAAGTAGACTTAGTAGTGGTATTGCTGGATCAAAGTTTTATAGGCTTTTGGGCATAGTTCCAAATTGCTCTCCAGAATGGTTGGATCAGTTCACAACTCCAAAAGCAGTGCATTAGTGTGAGAATTTTCTCAGATGCTGTCCAACATTGATCACTTTCTTTTTCTGTCATATGAGCCAATCTGATAGGTATGAGAGATGGTACCCCAGAACTTTTTTAACTTGTATTTCTCTAATCAATAGTGATTGAGAGAATTTTTTCATGCGATTATAAATAACATTCATTTCTTCATCTGAAAACTGCTTGTTCATATCTTTGACCATTTATTAATTGGAGAATGCTTGTATTTTTATAAAGGTGAATCTATTCTCTATATATTTGAGCAATGAGGCCTTTATCAGAGACACTTGCTGTAAAAATTGTTTCCCAGCTTTCTGTTTTCCTTCTAATCTTGGTTGCATTGGTTTTGTTCGTGCAAATCCTTTTAAATTTAACATAATCAAAATCATCCATTTTACATGTCATAATGCTGTGGAAACAGTCTCCAGGTGGATAATCTCACAGCATGGTACAGATCCAGTTAGTATGGTGGGAATAGAAGTGTAGTCATTGGTTCAGTTTACTTCACAGTTACAAAAACAGAGATTGTGAACATGTCAAGAAGTGAAATAGAAGGCTTTAGGCTGCAGCACATTGGCTCTCTGGTCCCTGGGAAATAAGGGGCAGTGAACACCTGGTGCTGGTCAAAACTATGCATTTTACTAGAGGGTGGGATTATCCAAAGCACAAAGGATTGCTGTTATTCCAAGCTCAGGGCACCACCTGCTTGCTGGGCCTTAGCTCTGTGAAACAGGGTGTCTCCAAATATCTTGACAGTTAAATTTTGTAAATGACTATAATAGAAATGTTCTTTTAAGGGAAAAAAATCATGTTGAACCACATGGTTGTAAAATAGAAAAAGGAGGCAATAGGGTTGTCAATAAAACTGCAGGATTGGTGAAGGCAAGATGGTGGAGTAAAAGCAGTGACTTGCTTTAACTCTCCTTCAAAGTACTCTAAATACCTGTAAAAATGGCTCTAATCAAATTCTAGAGTAGCAGAACCCACAAAAAGACAGAGTGAAACAAATTTAGAGCCCAAGACAACCTGGATGGTTGATTGGAAAAGTCTGTTGTGCCAGGCTGGGAGAGGAGAACATTTCAGCATTGGCCCTGCAGGCAAAGACTAGGCCTCAGTGACCCTTGAGCAGGCCTTAGGGGACTGAATCACTGGTAGCCAATGGGAAATAAGATATACAGGCAATGGGGCATAGAAATCTATCTTGTCCTACAGGAAAATAGAAGGGGAAGGGGATAAGAAAAGGTAGGTGGCAATAGAAGGGAGGGCAGATTAGAGGAAGGGGTATTCAGAATTCATGCCAATTTGGGGTGGGGGAGGGGAGAGATGGGGAGAAAATTTAGAACTCAAAATCTTGTGGAAGTGAATGTAGAAAACTAAATATACATATGTATATGAGGAAAAAAAGAAAAAAAAAACCATTGCAAGATTGTTTGAATAGGAGACTTCGGTTGTTCTTGAGAACAGAATTTCTTCAAGACAATCAAAGGACTTGCATCAATATTTTGTCAAGTGGGGAACTGTTTGGCAAAGAGAAGAAACCAGAGTTCCTTGATCAATAGTATGAAAATTGGGGCGATTTAGGCAATTTTGTGTTCTCTCTCTTGGGCTACCTGTAGGTATGAATTTAGCCTATACATTGTGGTTGTGTGTGGTTATGATTTGTCCTTTGTTCTTTTTTTTTTTTTTGGCTAGGCAATGGGGTTAAGTGACTTGCCCAGGGTCACACAGCTAGTAAGTGTTATGTGTCTGAGGCCGGATTTGAACACAGGTCCTCCTGAATTCAGGACCAGTGCCACTGTACCACCTAGCTCCCCCTTGTCCTTTGTTCTTGAAGAGGACCATGACTTCAGGGAGATGATGACATGACTTGCAATTGAGTTTGACTTTATGGAGGGAGGGCTGTGCAAAGTCACCAGCCTCACTTTCTCCTCCAGAGCCATCTGTATCCAATGACTAGATATTGATCAGGAAGACTGGAGATGGTCCAGGATGCAAGCTTGGACAAGGATGCATTCTGTCTACTGCATGTGACAATTAGTAAAATTCTCATTAACTTGAGATTGTTTCAATCTGCTGATTTTTACTAATTGTACACAATGAGTTTTGCATTTTTCCCTTCTCCTGCCTGTTTTTACCTGCCTGTTCCCATAGCCTGAACATAAGAAGTTATGTTATTAACATTATGAAGTCATATCTGCTACTCTAAAAGATCAGGATATATTCTTCTGAAAGGCATTGCTCTTTAGCAAGCAGTGTGATGGAAGCAGATAGAACATTAGATTTGTAGTCAGGAGACTTGCTTCCAAATAATGTCTGCATCATTTGTTCACCATGTGACCTCCATCATGTACCCTCACTTTGTATCACTAGCTCACATGGTGGAAACTAGATTTGAAATGATTCTGACTGTCAAAAGAACTACTTGAGCACATTAACGGCTAATGTCAGAACAGTGGGCAAAATACATTCTAAAATTTTCAAAATTATGTGCTCATCATCCTCAGCCTCACTTCGGGAATGATAATATTTATGCCAGTAGTTCTCCTCTGACTTTCTAAACTCTTCCTCCTTCTTTTTCTCATAGTCCCTCTTTTTCTTCTTATATTCTTCCTTTAGTTTCTTATACTCCTCACTTTCCTTTTTCAGCTGTTCCTTCTCCTTTTTCAATTCTTCCAATAACTTCTCATATTTCTCTCTGTTTTCTTCTCTCTCCTTCTCCAACTGCTTCTTGTAGCATTGCTGACGAGCCATTGTTTCTTCCTGGAGAAGATTTTCCACAGATTCATACATATTGTTGGTGTAGTGGGTGCCCCCATTATCTTGCACCATTTTCTCAACCATGGCCATCAGATCTGAAACCTGGGCACGTCTCTGGCCTCCACTAGCATTATTGTCAAATGCACAGCATCGGTTTTTACACTTCTCCAACAACTCCTTGAAATATGAGTCATCAATGGTTGTTAAGTACTCCCCTAGACTTTGTTCTCTCAGGTCTTCTTTTCGAGTGAATACAATGATCAAAAAATTCACTGCTTTAGCTCCTAGAATTTTATAAAGCCCTTCAATGGCTGCCTTCTCCTCCTTGGTGAAACGACCCACTTGCAGCACCAGGAGTAGAGCATGTGGTCCTGGAGAGGAGAGTGTCATGAAGTGAGCTATTTCCTTCAAGTTTTCTTTCTCTGGAGTATTGGTGTCAAAAATGCCTGGAGTATCAAGCACAGAAATGTCCCTCCCATTCCATGTGCCCCTGGCTTTCCTGCAGACCTTGGTGACTGACCCTCCTGAATACTTGGACTCAAACTCTTCATTGTCCAGGATGGTGTTTCCTGTTGCACTTTTCCCAGACCCTGTTATCCCCACAAGGACAATTCTGACTTCTGACTCCTTTGAGTCTCCTCCACTGCTGTCTGGGTCTGTAGGAAACAGGTAAGGAAGAAGAACGAATGATTGGATTTTGTAGATGATTGTAATAAAGCATTGCTCAGAAACCCTATCATTACATGGAGTGACCTTTAGGTTCTTGAGGGCTATGCCCATGGAGCACAAGCTGAGATGGGTCCTAACAATCTGGAGGAGCTTTGAATATGGCCATCTCTCTATTGTCATGGTGAAATTCTCAGATCCTTGTCAGCAGAAGGAAGGCCAACACCACCAGGAGACTATTCTTTGAGGGGTGTTAGGAGATGGCATTTCTTAAATTTATTTAACTGTAAATTCCACCCTTCCTCTGGAGCACATAATGAATCATTATTGCTTGTTAGAAAACACATGCATGTGTGTGTACACATTTACACATAGCCAAATTAAACTCAGCTATATTAATAATTGAGGCCTTTTCCCATGTTTGGATGTTTGTGTGATGTAGAAGTTTATTCCTTGCTCACCTTTGAATCTGAATTACTATTTATAGTAAGAATTTCTTTCTTTTTTTGTGAGGCAACTGGGGTTAAATGACTTTCCCAGAGTTACACAGCTAGTGAATGTTATGTGTCTGAGGCCTGATTTGAACTCAAGGCCTCCTGACTCCAGGGCCAGTGCTCTATCCACTGTACTACTTAGCTGCCCCTATAATAAGAATTTCAAAAAAGAAAAGGTGTAATCACCTCTGAACTCTGAGTACAGATAGAAGTAGATATTTTTTCATTTAATTTATCTTGCTTTTTCTTTTTCTATTTTTTTTGCAACATAGCTAATATAGATATATGATTTGCATGACTTCAAATGTGTAATGGGAGTCATATTGCTTTTCTTTTCAATGGGTTGGGTAAAGGATGGTTGGAGGGAGAGTATTTGGAACTCAAAATAAAAAAGTGAACTAAAAAGATAGAGATGAAACTAGGAATTATTTAACAAAATAAATAAAATATAAAAAAGAAAGTTTATTTCCCATCTCCTCTAGACTCTGAATTAGCATTAAACACGTAGAATCCAGAAAAAAACACAAACAAATGTGGGCACCTTCATAAACCTCTGATTTCTCACTTATGGGAACAACCTAAGGTCATTCTCCTGTCACTTGACAGATAATTGGCAAGATTCCTTTAAGGATTGTCTATTAGTTTTTGCTATTGCCCCTAAAACAAGTCAAGAAGGTCTCTCCATCTTGTCCACTTAACTTCTTTGGTGAGTGCCCATCTTGACTTAGATGGTCCAAATCACCTGACATCACAAATAAGTTTCTCTATAGCTCCCTTGTCAGCCACTCTTGAATAAATCAGAGAATCTTTCAGTTCCATATGCTCTTCTCCTCAACCACTTTCTGTGCTCCTAGATTGCAAGACCCAAATCTGGAGATTGAGGTAGCGAATAACACCTCGGTCCTCATTAGTCATCATCCTGGAATCTCCAACCTCCACTTCTTACTGCCCAAATTAGGAGTCTCTAGCAGAGATGAGAGAAGGGACTTTTCATATACAATAAAGGGAAACTGAGAAGTCATTTTTGGAACCTCCATACTACCTTAATTAGACTTCAGATTTGGAGCATTACAGCTTCCCACTCCTATCTACAGCCCTCCTGGGCTTTGGGAAGCTACATAGGAGTAACTTTCAATAAATATTTTTTGAACATATAGATCTTGTGGTTGGATATCCTTGTCCCCCGTCCTAGGCTAGACACTTGGGTTACCACATAATCATTGATTGGGAGGGACCTTTCCCACCAAATGAAGAAAATTAAACACATAGGGCACCTTGAATAAGTCTTTTTACTTCGAGAACAACAACAACAACAACAACAGCAACAACAACAAAAAACCAGCTTCCTCAAACTCAGGAATCTCTTCTAACTGTTGCCGGTGAGGAGCCCTAGTTGAAGTCTCCCTCTGTCTCCCCAATCAGGGTTTTATAGAAAGTGTCCACATGAACCCAAACAACTCTCTAGTACCTTGGATCATAAATGTGAAATTCCATATGCCTTTTCTTATTCTGAGCTGATCTCAAGTAGGTGGGGAGTGGAGGGGAGGGAAGGGAGAACAGTCCAGTCCTATAATGCTCATGCCCCTCTACCTATGATAGTGTTCAAAGATTCCAGCATATAGATCTGGAAGCAAAAGTAGCAGACAGTACCTTTTCACCCATCAGTCACCATTCTGTAACATTCTCACCTCCCCCCACCTCAAAATCAGAGCACATCCCTTACACCCATCAGAAGAGGGATTTTCTTGTACAAAAGGGGAAAGCTGGGAAGAAAATGTAGGAGGAATTGATACACCATCTCCAATCTAGAAGCCAATTCCTTTATTAGAATGTAAGTTTCCCCAATAGAATGTGAGCTCCTTGCAAGCAGGAATTCCTTCTTTCTTTGTATTTGTATCACTGAATACCAAGCATGGTGTCAGACACTTCGTAAGTACTTGATAAATACTTCTTGTTGATTGAGTTACTTAATTGCAAATCTCCTTCCACCTCTAGCCAGCTGTAAAGAATATACTTTAACAGATCTCTTTTGGACACCTAAGTCTCCCTTGGCTTTTTCTTCCTTTCTCTTCCTCCTATAGATGCTCCATTATCACACAATCAGAGATTTGGAAAGGCCTTTTCTTCCTGGTATAATAATTGAAATGACTTTGAGGAATTGACCAAGTGTCCTCACTTCTAAACCAGCTGAACTCAGTCTTGGTAAGGGCAGTGTAGGGCAAGAGTATCACCCAGAGGTTGTTGGGGGTGGGAGTGGAGCCATGAACATGGAAGAACAAGGGTGTGTATGTTTTGGTAAAAAAATGGGATTCAGGTAGCAGTAGATGCCATTCTCCTAGTTTCATGGTATCTTCTTTCCACAACACAGCTCTCCTTCCTCTGTTAAAATGTTGAGCTACTAGCTGGAAAGAGCCTTAAGCCCAGTCAGATCAGCCAAGGTGGTGGTGGAGAAGTGGGAGGCGAGGCTAGGGAAATAGGGCTCTAGCAAACGGAATACATACAGAGGGGCACAGAAATCTTAGTGCAGTTTTAAGGTTTGGGCCCAATCAGAGCACCCAGGATGGTGGTAGAGATTTGGGAATATGGAGGGAGAGAGTGGAGGGAAATGGGTCTCCAGTCAACAGAATAAAAAACAACATCTGAACACATTAATTCCTGAAAATTGATCAAGCAGTAGACTTAAAGGAGAAGGAAAGACAAAAATTAAAGTGTCTGTTCTCAGGGACAATTCTACTAGATGCAAACAGAGGATTAACCAGCGAAGACTGGAAAACTGTCCACAGCCTAGGAGGTTTAGTGGGCTGCCCAGCATGGGCCTGAATGAGACATCAAGGTGACATTGCAGCTAGAAACACTCATGGAATATTAGCTCACTTAAATAGAGTCATAGTGGCCTAGGTTTCTTCCCCAAGATGTCAATTCTGTGCCATACAGTGTTTCTAGTGATATGAGATGAGGTGTTGAGTGAGACTTGGTGTTTGAAAACTGTGTCAAAGCTTGAAGGAGGCAGTGTGGGATAATGGATAGCAGGCTGGCCTTGGAGTCAGGAAGACCTGGGTTCATTACCTGTGTGAGGATGGGTAAAGTTCTTTAAATCTCAGTGCACTTCCAACAAATCCCTAAATTATAGGTGACTTTACCCTGGGATCTATGAACTTGTAGAGTTGTTTTAAAATATACATATTTTGATAATTGCATTTGAATATAATTGGTTTCTTTTGTGATCCCCTATTTCATTTTATTCTTCTAAAAACATTATGCTGCAGAAGGGGTCACCAGGCCTCACCACACTGCTAAGGGATCCAAGACAGAAAATACAGCAAGGATTCCTGCTCTTAAGCCACAGATTACTAATGAGTTCCTGCTCTGCACAGAAGGAGTTTCCATCATGGGATTTTCCCATGAAATTGTGATGATATTACATCAAAAAAGCTAACAAAATCTTTGACAACAGCCAGAGCAGTAAAAGGATTTGTTCATGGGAGGTGACAGTCCCACTGGACCTCAAACTAGTCAGGTGCCATGTTGATAGCTCAACATGTTCCAATTTGGGCACCACATTTGCAGAAGTTTGCATCATGGGTTTGGGATCTAGAGGGAGTCTGTAAGTTTGCATAAGTTCAAGCCCTTCATTTGACAGCTGAGGACGCTGATCCTCGTGGTGGTTAAATGACTTGCTCCAAGTCATGAAGGCCAAAAGACAGAGTCAGGATTTGACTTGAGGTCCTCTGGTTTCTATTCTCATCTTGCTCTGCAGCAGGACCAGCTGGAGCTCATGCTGAGGAGGACAATGAGGAAGGTGGAAGGTGTGGAGATGATGGCCCAGAAGGAAGAATTCGAGGAATAAGGGATGTTTAGACTAGAGGAGAGAAGACTTGGATAGGGCATGGTCACTGGCCTCAGGTATCTGCAGGGATGTCCTACAGAAAAGGGATTAGCCATCTTGCTTGGCCCCAGAGAGCAAAACTGGTACCAGCAGGCATAGGTTACAAGGAGAAAGATTTCAGCTCAATTAGAAAGGAAGAATGTCCTAACAATCTGAGCTGCCCCTACCATGGAATGGGCTGAGAGAGAGTGAGCTCACCATCACTGGAAGTGACCACCGTTGTTAGTCATATCATAAGGGGGATTCGTTCTTCTGGTAGGATGTTGTGCTCTAAAGTTGCTTCCAACTCCCATGATTCTGTGAAGCCTTAACTTAAAAGGTGACTACCATCAGCTACACCATTAGAAAGTGCTGCTTTCCGGTCAGGAGGAAGTCTGACTATACATTTTAATGAGAGAAAGAGATAATGGGGAAGTTGTACTGCGTTAGGTTCACAAAGTGCTCTACAATTATCTCCTTGTATCCTCACAACAGCTCTGGAAGATCAGTACTCTTATGAGCTCCATTTTACAGATGAAAAACTGAGGCAGACTGAGGTTGAGACTTGCCCAGGGATCACACAGATAGTAAGAGTCTGAAGCTGGATTTCATGTTAAGTCTTTTCACCTCCAGGTCCAGCTCTCTATGCACTGCAACACCAGCTGCCTCTGGGAAAAATCTGTGTGGGTGCCCAGAGCCCTGTGCCCAGGAGACAGGAATATTGTGATGGGAGTATTCCCCTTGCCACCAAAGAGCTAACCCTGTGTGTGGAGAAGAAAAAATGCAGCCAGAGGTCAGAAGGGGTGACACTATGACTCTTTCCAGCTCTACAAAATTTGTACTATACTAAGGAGTGTCTTCAAATTCTCAAGCAAAGCAATTTCAGGTGACTTCCATTTTAAAAATAAATATATGTCAAAGACCACCTTTTCTATACCTGGAATAACAACTATAGCTCAGAAAAATGTGGGAAATTACTGTCAACTGGGTGTGATTTTCAATGGTAGCAATTTTAGGCACTTAATTTAATAATTATAATTAGTAGATATCTTATCTACCTGGCATTGTTTTGGGAGGGGAAGGAGTGGAATTTGATTGATCAGAGGGGCCTTGATCAACCCCCTCCCACATCAGATAAGTCTCTCAGAGGGACATAGGTGCTATTATTATCATCCCCATGTTGTAGATGGGGAAACTAAAGCAGACGGGGTTAAGTGACTTGCCCAGGGTCTCACAGCTAGGATGTGCTCAAGCCTGGATTTGGATTCAAGTCTCCCTGATTTCAGGTCCAGTCCATTCAGGTCCATCCATTGCACCGCTTAACTGCTCATTGCTAGCTGGCTCCTGGGATGTGACTCAGGAACTGGGATAGAATTATGTGGCTCTTCTAGATACTTGTTGTTTCATAGTTTCTGACTCTTCCTAACTCCATGGACCGCGGCTGTGAGTGGGTTTTTTTGGGCAAACATACTGGAGTGATTGCCATTTCCTTTTCCATATGATCCTTTTGTCAGGCAATCAGAAGTTAAATGACTTATTCAAGGTCACACAGCTAGGAGTTGTCTCAGGCTGAATTTGAACTCTGTTCTTGCTGACTGCAGGGTCAGTGCTCTATCCGCTAAAGCACCAGCTGCGTTTCTTCTAAATATTGGTGAAGATCAAAAGCCAATGTATATTTAAACAACCTGCAAACTCACCCTTCTCAAAGAAAAGTGATGGGACTGCCTGCCCTTCCACCGTCCCCCAATCCCTCATCCTGAACCATCAGGTCTTCCTTTCTCCTTCAGGGCTGCTCTTCAACTTTATTTTAACCAGATTGGTTTACATGCACAAACACTTAGGATACTTGTGTGTGTGTGTGTGTGTGTGACAATGTGTCCTCCCCACCTCCCAACACTGTGTCTGATTGAATTAAGGCTCTGACTCCTTCTCTGGCTAAAAGTGTTTTTAAAAAGTTTGTTCTTCTTTTTATTAGATCTTTCTAAAATTACTTCTCTTTTTGACCTCCACCCTTCCAGGGTGAATGAGCCCCTCCTTACCTCACCCTCTTTGGACATCGTTCATGATTGCTGGCTGGGATTTGCCATCACATAGCATCTCCCATCAGAACAAGGTGATTTGGATATGTTCTAACTGGAAGAAAAAGGTGAGATCCTCTAATCGCTGAGACTATCTCTGAATCTGACTTGCTTACGTTGATCATTTTTCACCTACAAAGAACTCTTTTCTAACACTGCCCTCCCCTGACACCTGGAACAAGGCCTTGCATTCCAGAGAGTAATTACCAGGGATGAAGTTACCTGAGAGGCGGTCATACGGTGTCCCCAGATGGAAGGGTCTCCCCAGAGCCGGGATCTCCATAGCAGTCTTCCAGGTCATGTTGCTTGGAAATTTATTCCCTGCCATTTCCCTAAGGAAAGAAAATTGAGGTCTAGGGCAGTTATCAGGGAACTCACTTTCTAGCAGGCTCCAACCATTAGCGCCCCATTTCTCAGTGACCAAGCTCCCCCACTCTCTGTTAGCCAGGAACCCTGCAAAAGGTAGTGACTGTTCTGGGATGGAAAGACATCATTCTTGTAAGGAGGTCAGAAAGGAGCCAGACACCTTGGACTGAATCGGTCAGCTTAGAGAGAATCTTAGGAAGAAGATAGGGCAGAGGGCAGAGGCAGAGCTAGAGAGTAATCAGAAGGACTGGTTTGGTTGAGGAGAATAAGTACTTATGTAGTACTGTAAGGTTTACAGAGCACTTTACAAATATTATCTCATTTGGTTCCCATGACAACCCTGGCAGGTAGGTGCTGTTATTATCCCCATTTGACAGTTGAAGGAATTGAGGCAAACAGAGGGCCAATGACTTGGCTGGGGTCACACAACTAGGTAGTGTGACTGAATTTGAAATCACATCTTTCTGACTCCAGGCTCAGCCCTCTAGCCACTGCACCACCTAGCAGCTTCTAGTGGGAAGGGAGATACAAAGGCTGAGTAGGGTTCACTTTAAGAGGGCAAGGAGGCTATCTTTGGTGGAATCAGCCTTGAACCCTGGCCTTGGCTTAGTGCTTGATGCATTAAAACCCCAGTCTGTGGGGAGCTGGCAGAGAGAGTCCTAGCATTGCCCAGTCAGGTGTTGCTTGGCTCTTCCTAATGGTTTTTGAAAAGCTGATCATCAGGATAAGCTAAATGAAAATAATCCCCAAAGCCTTTGGTTGTCCTAAACCACCCCAATCTTTGCATCCAGACTCTGGAGTCATGGAATTCTGAGGTGAGTTGCTTTAGGCTGAGAGCCAGGATTCCCTGTAGGCTCAGGCTGTTCCAACTGTTGCCCTGAAGGTCCATCTACATGAGCCATGGTGGTTGATGGAGGGGAATGGAGGAGTCAGTAGATGAGGGGCTGCTAGGCACCTGAACTAGAGCAGCTGCCTTTGAAAGATGAGTATGACATAATTCCAGGTGATTGTCAACCTGCCTCTACCAGCAAAGTGATGACCTTGGCCTTCTTCCCCTACCTCAAAGCAAGAGATTTACCCTAGCAGCAAGGGATTCTTCTTTAGGATATGGCTGTGATGTCAGCAATGAGCCCCACTGGGACAGCCACCATCCAAGCCCTGACAGGAGGGTCTGTTCCTTATGGGTCCTGCTGGACCATTCCTTCTGAGCCAGCCACTCATTTGATTGCACAGCAGGCTGGAGACTGAGCCCACTCTCATCATATTCCCTGGGCTCCCCCTCTGCTGTCCTACCCTTGGGCAGCTGGCATTGTTGAATGTCTTTTAAAGCATCATTTTCACCATCACACCCATGACAATCAGCATTACGAGTCCCAGCTTTCAGAAACTGCATCTTTGATAGTCAGGACTGCCTTACGTAAGGGGGAGGGCTTTCTCTTAGAACTGGCCTCTATGAACTTTCCTTGCCCTAGAGAGATGGACAATTTTTAGAGTTAGGCCTAGTTGACCTTCTGCAGCCCTCCCTTATTCCATACCCTGTAGACAATCTCCTAGGCCTTGAGGTTTCTGCTCCCTCAGAAGGCTCTAGACAACCCAGGAAAGTGGTCCATCTTAAATGTTAGGATTCCTTTCCCAAGGGTAATTTATCCAAAGCCTTAGAAAGGGCTTGAGGGACCATGGTGTAGACTTGGGAGGAAATGTTTTGCTTTTTAATTCTATGGTAAGGTATAAAGTATTTTTATTCAATTATGGGCAAATTCAATTCATCTGAAATAAAAGGGCTCCCTTACCTAAAATGGCGGTAATATTACATGCAGGTTCCTGGATGCAGGTAAGAGGGGGCTTTCATCAATGCTGCAGAGAAGAAGGGGTAACCCCCTTAGTATAGCCTTCTATACAGGGCCAAAAATGTGGTATACCCTTTTGAGGCTTCTAGGAAGACGGAAGTTTTGGATGATTGGCCAGCAATCATTGAGGGAGTGGTGTTAGAAGGTGAGACTGGAACAAGCTTAAACAGGGGAACTCCTGCTTGAATATCCAACCTCTCCTTTCTTTATGTTGTTGTTCAATTGTGTCTGGGTGTTTGTGGCCCCGTTTGGGGTTTTCTTGGCAAAGATCATGCAGTGGCTTGCCATTTTCTTACCAAGGTCATTTTATAGTTGAGGAAACTGAGGCCAATCGGGTGAAGTGACTTGCCCCACAGCTAATAAGTGTCTGAGGCCAGATTTGAACTCAAGAAGGTGAGTATTTGATTGATAAATCTTATAAGGAAAGATCTTTCATGTCCTCTGTATGACTAAACATTGGGCTGTAAGTCAGAGTGTGGCGATCTATGTTGACCTGAGAACTTATCCAGTTCTCAGGAAAAGATGTGCTCTGGGAACCTGGCTAGTTCATCAGAACATATCAAGTTAATTAATATTCTTAGATGTTTTGCTCGCTCTAGGAACTTGGCCAGTTCCTGGACCAAGTGAAAATATCTATTCGAATCATGGACACGTTTGGCCCGGGGCCTTCTTTGTTAGAGATCCTCTTTAAATCCTACTTGGGAAAGCCATATTTGGATTCTCACCCATGGAGAGGATGCTCTGCCTGAGACTTTCCCAATTGGGATCCTGAAAGCTGTGCTCTGGGAATCTCCAGCTTGGACTTCAGGCATTGGTGCTTCCCCGAATTGGTGACGTTTTCTTATATTATTGCTGTCCTTTGTATTCTTAGCCTGATTATTTATATATGTATATATGGTATTGCTATTTGTATGTTGCTATAAATCTCCCTTTTCTATACCTATATTATAATCTTAATTAAAGCTACCTTCACTTCTCTCTCTAGGAGTGGGTCTTATTGTAGGAGTGAATCTGAGCCACATTTTTCTTCCTTTTCTTCCTTAATCACACAGTATTCCTGACTCCAGGTCTGGCACTGTATCCACTATACCACCTACCTGCCTGTGCCTCTCTTTATAGAGTCCTGCAGATATTTTCCCTTGGGTGCAGCATCTCTGTTGGACTGATTCCTCACTTGGCCTCATGGAGTCTCCCCTTCCTCACCATCCCACTCTTGACAGCCATCTTGACTTGGTAGCTGGTTCTTGTTTAAGCTGTGAGAGATCCCACTCCTTGAAGCTGTTTTTGTTCTGGGTCTATGGCTTCACTCTCTCAATGTCTCCCTGAAGAGACTGTGTCTCTGCTCCCTCAAATGTCTCTGGAATGCTCTTGAACTGACTCTCCAGCTGCTGGATAGAGTGTCTGCTGCTCTACAATGGAAAACTTGACCAGGACTGGGGAGGAGGAAGAGGAGGGAGTGGGGGTTGTGAATTATAGGGATTAATCTTTCCTTCCTTCTGGGGTCATACTCCACAAAGTGATCTCAGACAGGCCTGGCTCCTGCTTCCTAGACTGTTGGCAGTCTTAGCTACTTAACACTGGAAGGACCAGTTGAACTGGACGACCGAGAGAAATCAGAGCACAGCACCCGATTGACATGAATTGTGAGCGCGTTTATTTGAGCCGGCCGGCAACGGACCCCAGGCGTGTGCTTAGGGGCCGCGCCGCCGAGAGTTCTCCAGAGATATTTATACTGTCAGATTACATAACAGGGTCCGGTGGTGTGACGGGAAGACAGATCAGGTTATTTACAGAACAGGATGTTGCACCCCACCCTACAGGATGTATGCTAGGGGGCCTCACCCAGGATGTTGCAACAGCCGTTGGGGAAGCTGGGCCAGATGGCCCGGGGCTCCTTGGCCTGGGACCCTACGGGGGGGGGGTCTATCACATTCCCCCTTTTCACAATCAAGCTATACAGGGGACTCAACAGAGTCCAGGGGCGCTGACTCATCTGTACCTAGGGGTGTATAGGATCTGCGTAGGACAAACAGTTTCAGAGACTGTATACGCTGCTGGATGTAGCGGGAGAGGCAGTTCATGATGCAGGGGGCGACCAATAATCCTATGAGAAGAAGAACCAAGGGGCCCATTACAGCAGAGAGTAGAGTGGTGAGCCAGGGGGACCAGTTATACAAGGTCTGGTACCAGGACAAGCCGCAGGCTCTGGCTCGGTCCCTATCATCCAACCGCTGCCGTAATGCCTGCAGGGATTCCCGGATGACACCTGAACGATTGGCATAGAAACAACAGGTCTCTCCTAGGGCCATACACAACCCCCCTTGTTTCAGGAATAATAGGTTGAGGCCGCGGCGATTCTGGAGCACCACCTCCGCTAGGGAATCCAGGGAAGTCTCCAGGTGGGAGAGTAGTCCCTCTAGAGCCCACAGGTCCTTGTCCACCTGGGTACTGAGGGCCCCATAATCTGCCTTCCCCTGCATTAGGGCAGTCGCTCCCACGGCTGCAGACCCGGCCACCCCGAGCCCCACCAGCAAGGGCACTAAGATAGGGGCTGCCCTCCTGGAGCGAGGTAGGCCAAAGTGTTCGGTGGCCCCCTCCTCGGAGTACACATACACCTGTGGGAACACCCTAACTATCACACAGATCTCAGTGGGGCTGAGGAAATGGAGATCCTGTATACAGGTGGTGAGCCCCAGGGTGCAGGCGAACCAAGTCTCGGGTGGGGTGGTTATCAGGAAGTTGGACCCATTTGACGGTGGTGTGAGTAAGACAACAGAAGTGCAGGTAGAATTGAAGGGGGAAGCTCTCAACGGGTAGTCAGGTCCCAGCAAGCACGTCCCTGTACCCTGGACATCATCTAACGTCAATTTAGGCCCATTTGGGTTACAGCGGGAGGGGATTGCTGTAGGGGAGAGGTTCTGCATGGACAAGTTCCCCAGATATGAACTGTTTAAGTCCAAAGCGACCCCTACAAAGTATGGGGAAGCTGGGTTCAGCAGGCAGCAGTGACATTGGGGTCGGAAGAATTCAAGAAAGTATGGACCGCAGTAAGGGTATCAAATATAGAGGCACCAGGGGCGCCAGGTGTCTCCGGAGTTGCTAACCTCGGTGCGGCCGAGGGCTCAGCAGATGGAATTAGGTCCATCTTGGCCTGTGGGTTGAGGACAGGGTTGGGGCCTATGGGAAGGGGCTGAACGGGTAGGGCAACCTTTTGGATCGTAAAAAGGACACCGTTGTCCCATCCAGTCATATACAACCTCAGCCCCCATGAATGCCCAAGATTCCATGAGTCATCTGTATACTGTTTGACCGTTAAGATCATGGGGTTGCATTTTCCAGGCCAGCAGGAATACGGGAGAGGTGACTGTCTTTCCAACGTGATGAGCGGGTCTTTCCCACCCCCAGGAATCCAATCTGCCACTGTCTCACACCCCCACTCTGCGCAGTGGAAACTGCTGCCTCCACGGCAAGAGGGGCTTCCGGTAGCAGGACAGGCATAAAATTGGATGTCCCTGATATTATATTCACCTTGTCCTGCCCCATGCTGGGTGGCTGGTACGGGAATTGTGGGGCAGTGCCCGCCCCCTCCTGTCACAGGGTCCTGCAGGTGCCTATCTCTATTCCACCCCGATCCTAAGAGGGCACAGAGGTCAAATCTGAAGGTAGGTGGGCCATAGCAAGTTAAGGTCTGTATGATGGCCCCATCATTAGTACGGGAGAGGATCCACCTATGTGGCGTGGGGCGGTAGGGGTTACAGGATGCGGGATATTCTTTATAAGCAAACAGGAGAAGCAAAAGAATCAAGTTTTGGAGAACCGGAGCCTTAGATCCAACACTGCCTCTGCCTTCCATGTCGCGGACTCAGGCGCCGGAGTCTTTTTGACGTGTGACCGATGTATCCAAGCCTTACGACCTGCGACTTTCACAGCAGATGGGTTGCAGAGGATCACTTGGAAAGGTCCAGTCCACCGTGGTTCCAGGGCCGATCCGGCAGGCAGTTTGCGGGTGAGGACCCAGTCTCCAGGTGTTAAGGCTCCCAAGTCAGCGGCAGGATCCGGACTTTTCCCCGCAGCCTTTAGGACCGAACGTACTGCGTCTTGGACCTCCCGGAGTGCCTGAAAGGACTTAAGAAGAGTGGGGTTAGTAAAATCCGGGGCTGGGGTTGCCCCAGTTACCCTCGGGAGGACAGGTGGGGGTGCCCCATAAAGAATTTCATATGGAGAGAGAGAGAGAGTGGAAGAGTTAGGAGTACACCTAGCCTGAAGGAGAGCGAAAGGGAGGAGGCTAACCCAGTTATCGCCAGTTTCCAGCTTGAGCTTAGCAATGTGCTCCTTCAAGGTCCTATTCATCCTTTCTACTTGCCCTGAGCTCTGAGGCCGGTACGCACAATGTAGCTTCCACTTCAGTCCCAACATTTTAGATAAATTTTGAATTGTTGTAGAGACGAATGACGGGCTGTTGTCGGAACCCACCGAGGCTGGCAAGCCGAATCTGGGAATGATTTCAAAGAACAGTTTTTTTGCGACTATCGTGGCGGTTTCAGTTTTCACGGGGAACGCTTCTGGCCATCCGGAGAACGTATCTATGAACACAAGGAGAAATCGATACCCCCCCGTCCAGGTCCCATATCGGTGAAATCTACTTCCCAGTGATCCCCGGGAAAGGTCCCCCGCGGTCTATCTGCAGGCACTCTCGTCGCCGGCCGGGGGTTGATCTTTGCACATGTGATGCATCTCCTGGCCGCCTCCTCAGCTGCCTGTTTCATCCCTGGGCTGTAGAAATGCCTACTCACCAGGTCATAGAGCCTGGTACCGCCTAAATGGGTGAGGTCATGGAGGGTCATCAGTAGAGGGGGCAGGAGGGCCTTGGGCAGGATCAACAGACCGTTCGGGTGTCTTCTCCATCCCCGCTTTTCAGGCACGCCATCCGGATCGCCAGACTGGTAAGAAGGTTGCGCTGGCAATAAGTCTGCCGTCTGGACAGTGAAGACGGGGAGTGGTGCCCTCCTTGCGGCCGCACGGGTGGCTCTATCTGCGGCTGCATTACCCTGAGACTGGGGGTCTGTCCCGCGGGTGTGAGCTGGGACATGAATGACCGCCACCTCTTTAGGAAGCCAGACAGCATCCAGGAGATCTTGGATCTGCCTCTTATTCCTGATCTCTTTTCCTGCTGAGGTTAGCAAGCCGCGTTGTTGGTACACGAATCCGTGAACATGGACAGTTGCGAATGCATACCGGCTGTCAGTGAAGATATTGACTCTCTTGCCCTTCGCGAGCCGGAGGGCCTGCGTTAAGGCAACAAGCTCTGCCCGTTGGGCGGAAGAACCGGGTGGCAGGGCTGCGTCCCAGAGGGTCTCGGTCGGGGTCACCACTGCGGCCCTGGCCCTCCGAATCCCATCCTCCACGAAGCTGCTTCCGTCGGTGAAGAGGATCATGTCGGGACTGGTCATGGGCACATCGGTAAGGCCAGGCCGGGAGGTGTGGATGGCATCAAGAATGTCCAGGCAATCATGCAGAGGAGATGCCGGCAGGGAGCTGGGAAGCAGCGTAGCGGGATTCAAGGTCACAGGCGCAGAAAAGGTTATGCGGGTCGGATCTAACAGGAGGGACTGGTAGTGAGTTAGACGAGAATTGGAGATTCACTGAGTGGGAGGGGTGTGCAGCAACTGCTCCAGGTGGTGAGATGGGGAAATCTCAAGGGGCTGGCCGAAGGTTAGCTTAGTTGCCTCCCTGACTAGGGTAGCAACAGCCGCCACAGTTCGGAGACATGTAGGCCACCCA